TGAGTTTCCTGGCTATTTTGGAAGACCTGGGAATGGCAGGCTCAATAAAAAGTATAGAGGCTCAAATGGGAGAGAGGTATGCAGTAGCAATTGTAAAAAGGACAAAACCTCTTCTCAGAAAGGAACAATAGATCCACAAGTCCAAAAAATGTGGAAGAGGGAGCCAAAGCCTTTTCCGCAACGCCAGCAAGCGGAAGAAGCATTGTACCACAGCATCATAATTTTGTATGTATTTTCCTTATAAACCACACAGACAGAAGATTTAGATGTATTTTCCCAAATTTTCTTTCACGGCGTCAGATCAATGTTACATTGCAAAAACTGGGACCACTTGCGCATGTAATGATGAGTGTCATTAGAGAGGGGGGGAAGCATCCATAAGAAGTTTGTATGTATTAGAAATTTTGCCCTTTTGAAGTGGACCTTGTATGCACAGACACTCAAAGGGAGTGGGTTTCCCAAGAGTCAATGTGGGGGACATGGTAGAGAAAAAGTGGCGTATCTGGAGATAGATATATAAATGTTGGGAAGGTAGATCTTTTTTTTCTGGATGTATGAGAATGGTTGCAGCTTCCGAGTCACAGGATGTACTAGGTGGCGTAGTTGGAAGAGATTGGCTGTGACCCAAGGGAGCACCCTGGGCATGGCCAAACTATCTGGAAGGTTGGGGTTAAAGAGGATATTAGTCAGTGGGGAGCAGTCTGAGGTCAGTGCAAACCTAGTCCTACATTTCTGCCAAATACTCATGGAGAATTGCATGGGGCCAAGGAAGAAACAACAGATAGGGGTAAGGTCCACTGCCGAGGTCGACCAGAGGAGAGAACAAGGATGAGTCGGAGTCAGTTGTAAGGACTCATCTCAGTCCACAGGTTGGGAGGGAATTGGGTGGACCATGACGTAAGGAAGTGCAGGTGGGTAGCATAGTAATAGGTCACAATATCCGGTGCCCCTAGGCCTCCCCTAGAACGCAGAGAAAGTAGTACACTACGTGCGATTCTATGCTGCTTATTATGCCAAATGAAGTGTAGAAGGGATTTCTGGAGAGAGTGTAGTTTGGACATAGGAACAGGAACGGGGAGAGTCGCAAAAAATACAGGAGTTTGGGTAGTATAACGTTGATGCGTCCCAGGAATGATATGGGTAGGGTGTATCCCAAATTTTCAAGGAGCAGGAGATAGCTATAAATGGGGGGGGGGGGGGGGGAAATTGGCATCATATGTAGAACTGTAGGAGGAAGTGAGGCTAGTACCCAAGTATTTTAGAGAATGGGTGCACCATCGTTAAGGGAAGGATTCTTGGAGGGACAAGAGCACAGCTGGTGGGATGTGAAGTGGGAGTGCTTCAGTTTTGGAGGTATTAACCTTGTAACCTGAGAGGGTCCCGAACTGACGTAAAATTTTATGCAATACTGGGAGAGAGATTTGGGGATTCGAGAGTGTAAGAAGGATATCATCCGCAAATAGGTTTGTACTCACGGCCATGAGATATTATCCCTTGTATGTCGGGGTGGAACCAGTTTGCAATAGCCAATGGTTCCAAACAGAGGATAAACAGTAGAGGGGAGAGTGGGCATCTTTGTCGCGTACCAGTCGACATCTGGAAAGGGGGTGAGAGAAAAGATACCAGTCTGACCTGTGAGGAAGGATAAGAGTAGAGAGCTTTTAAAGCTGCCACGGAAGCCAAACTCTCCAAGATCATAAACATATAAGGCCAGCTGAGCTGGTCAAAAGCTTTTTGGGCATCTAAGCTCAATAAAATGGTGGGGGTGGAAGACAGGTTAACCAAGTCAACCAGATCAATGGATCTCCAGGTATTATCTGCTGCATGACTGGCAGGAACAAAGCCTACTTGGTCTCTGTGTATGAGCTTGGAGAGGAGCCTGGATAGCCGATTGGCTAGGATCTTAGTAAATATCTTGTAATTAGAGTTTAGTAGAGCAATAAGACGGTAATTATTTAAGATAGAATGATCCTTGTCAGGTTTGGGAATTACAGAGATATATACATGGGAGAAGTCAGCTTGGGGAGTAATAGCCCTGAAAAAGTCTTGATAAGGAGAGATAAGATGGGAGCCAGGATACCAATGAAGGTCTTGTAATAAGAGCAGGGAAGTCCATCTGGTCCCGGGGTTTTGCGTGAGGGGAGATGTTTGACTGTATCAAATAGTTCTTCAGATGAAATGTTAGCGTTAAGGGCCGAGATGTCAGAAGCAAGGCAATAGCTTTGGTAATAGTACAGGATTAAAAAACTATCAAAAGAAGTGTCTGTGAGGGGAGGATGGAGATCTGGGGTCAAACAGTTGTAAAGGGACTCATATGAGCCAAAAAAGGGAGACCATTACATGGGGGTCATAAGTAGGGTCCCCATTCGGCAGGGTAAGATGGTCTGGCATTGTAGAGGGAGATTGTGCTTTGAGTCTATTGACGAGCATACAGTGAAATTTGTTAGAGAATTCATAGATTTTTTCTGTTTGACCCAGAAAAGAGACTTTGTGGACTTACAGGCATCAAGGGCCTTGATTTGGTCACGAAGAGAGGTCACTTTATGCAGCCCAGAAATAGACAGCTTTGCGAGAAGTCTACTTTCAGCCAGGGTTAACTGGCAGACTAGGGTAATCCTGGCACTCTGAGGATTTCTTCAAGCAACCCATGGAGATACAAAGACCTCGAAATACAGCCTTGTGGGCTTCCCATATGGTTGAGGTAGATGGTACAAAGCCTACATTGTGGTGGAAGTACATGTATAGTCCCTGTGAGAGCTCAGCACGGAGATCTTCCATGGTTAAAAAGGTCTCATTGAGGCGCCAATGGCCTGTCTTTGGCATAACATTAGGGAATAACAGGTTTAAGGAGGCATGATCAGACCATGTGATATGGTTGATGTAAGAGGAAACCAGGAGAGGGAGCAGTGGAGCTGAAATAAAAAAGTGATCTAGGCGTGAGTAGCTATGATGAGGGGTGGAATAGAAGGTGAATTGTTTATAGAGAGGGTGCCGAATCCACCAGGCATCAAAGAGACGATGTTCCCTGATCAATTTATGAAAGGATTTCGAGGAGGAGAATTGCCACTTCGAAGGAGTGGACTCGAAAAGAACCTTCCTATCTTTGTGTGGTGAAAGGATTAAGTTAAAGTCACTACCTATAATCATGTGTAGAGTAGAGAAGGAACCTAATTTGGCAAGTGTTTGTGTAAGAAACTGTAACTGACCTGAGTTCGGGGCATATAGATTCGTCAAACATACAGTCTAAGATATTGAAGCGACCGTGGTGATCGACCCTGGAGGAAACGACCCAAAGGGAGCAATGTGTCAGAATCAGAATTGCCACTCCAGCCTTCCCAGATGGGTCAAAGGCCAAAAAGGATTGGGAAAAAACCTTAAGGCAAAACGAAAGGAGCCTGTTTTAAAAATGGGTCTCCTGGACAAAAATAATGTCTGCTCCTGAGAATCGGAATTCCTTCAAAGCCATCCACCGTTTCTGAACGGAGTTAAGACCTTTAACATTATATGATAGACGTCGTAAAGCCATCACAAAATGACAATGAATATACAGAAACATTACAGTAGAGAACATAGATATCTGTAGGGATATGCACTTGGGAAAAACATCTATACCCAAGTCGTCCAGGCCAGTGGCTGGATGGGATCGGGGGCAACACGACAACCGAAACATAACAGTCGTCAAACCCAGCCAGAAAAACAGGACAAATGAAAGCACCCAGCACAGAAAAAAAAAAAAAAAGGGAGGGAGAAAGGAAGGGGGGGAGATGGGGAGGGAAGTGAAAAGGGGGGGAGGGGGAAGGGTACAACCCCGAAGTATCCACAAGAGAACACCCTAGAAATCCATCAGGTAGGCTCATCGCCAGAATGAGGACGAGGACATTGTGGAGTACATGAAAGATACTTCTAGCCCCCATGAACTGGTGTCCAAATTCTCCATCTGGGGGTTAGGAGAGCTTGGGGATGTTGGTTGCACAGTGTGGGATGTGGCTGCAGTACCTCCGGCCGCCGCTGGGGGTCCGGAGCTCTTCCTCGGGGACCCGAGTGTAATTGAGGCCGGGGATTGTGGCCTAATGAGGAACAGCTGCATCGGGGAGGGCCGCGGGTCATGTGGCGGCGGGGAAGGGGGCTTCCAGCGCCCGATCTTCCTCATTACCTCTCCCCTTATTGTGCTGGGCTGGGTGCAGGGCTGGTGTGACTCACCCAGGGACGCCTGGAGGCTAGTGTTGCGCTGTGGGTGAGTCGCTAATGCCGGGGATAAACAAAGTCTCTGGAAGATGCGGCCATCATCATCCCTGGTCGCGCATGCACCCCAACATTTTTAGCGTTACACGTTTATTCTTTCTATTTCATGCCGGCAACATTTCTCTGATCTAATGTTTAAAGGAGGAAACTTGCTGGCCAGGACACAACTCTGGAGATTTCTCTGCTGACCCACAGCTGTTGATCAGCTCTCCAGGTAGGGTGGCGCTTTTCTCTTTGGGTCCTCATGCTGTCATAGGACTGCCTTGGTCATTCTTCTCTTTTCTGGTCAGTCCTCAGTGTTACCAACCTAGAAATAATGCTCATAATAGTGTATTTACATAGGTTTTTTTAGGCGGCGAGTAGACACTCTGCGCCTGGAGAAATGGAGTGAGGCTACTCCTCGAGGGAGCTCTGAAACTGTGGCAGGACAGGAATGTTGGTGGCGCATAGCTCTCAGGAAGCCTCGGCCTTCCTGAAGGGTTCACGAAGTTCAGGATTGATTGCACCTAATCCCAGTTGGGTGCTGTCTGGTGGGATAACTGGGGTGTTGTGCATGGCCTGATAGGTGGAATGTGGGTGGGGTGCCCTCCTTCAGGGGGCGATCACAGTAACCTTAACCGCCTCCCGCCCACCATATACTCCAATGACGGGTGCAAGGTGGTTCTCTCGTTCTGGGAGGACGTCATATGATGTCCTCCCATTCTCACCACACATGCGCGGCTCCGGGAGCACACAGCGCGGCGATCGGCGGTGCGCTGTGTCCCTCGGACACAGCGGATCACCGATCCACGGAAAGAGCTGAAGATGTCGGCTCGGTCGTTTGATCAGCTGTGTCCAATCACAGCTGATCGCATGTAAACAGGGAAATGCCGGTTATCGGCATTTCTCTTCTCACGAGCTGTCACGATGAGAGGAGAGGAGAGACGGTAATTGGCATTCCTCGAAGGAGACATGTACACAGATCATCAGAGCACTGATGATCAGTGTGCCCTGATGATCTGTGTAGCCCGAACAGTGCCACCTGTCAGGGTCCATTAGTGCCAGCTCTCAGTGCTCATCCATGCCAGATATCAGTGCCACATCAATGCCACATATCAGTGCCACATATCAGTGCCACATATCAGTGCCCATCAGTGCCTCATCAATGCCACATATCAGTGCCCATCAGTGCCACATCAATGCCACATATCAGTGCCTACCACTGCACATCAGTGCCACATATCAGTGCCTACCACTGCACATCAGTGTCACATATCAGTGCCTACCACTGCAGATCAGTGCCACATATCAGTGCCTACCACTGCACATCAGTGCCACATATCATTGCCTACCACTGCACATCAGTGCCACATATCAGTGCCTACACACTGCACATCAGTGCCGCCTTTCAGTGCCCATTAGTGATGTCAATGCCCATCAGTGCAACCTATCAGTGTCCATCAGTGCAGCCTATCAGTGCCCATCAGTGCCGCCTCTTTAGCGCACATCAGTGAAGGAGAAAAATCACTTATTTACAAAATGTTATAACAAAAACTAAGAAAAAAAGTTTTTTTTTTTAAATTTTCTGTGGTTTTTGGTTTGTTTAAGAAAAAATAAAAAATCCAGAGGTGACTAAATACCACCAAAATAAAGCTCTGTCACAAAAAAATTGTAAAAATTTCATATGGGTACAGTGTTGCATGACCGCACAATTGTCGTTCAAAGTGTGACAGCACTGAAAGCTGGAAATTGGCCTGGGCAGGAAGGGGGTATAAGTGCCATGTAGGTAGTGGTTAAAGTTGTAATTTCCCCTGTTTCTGCCATGGGCTCCATTCAGGTGTTTTGGGATTTTAATTCTAAAAAAAAAACCCTATTTTTTTATCTAACATACAACTATTTTTTGTAACACACTATTGTGAGCATTTTTCTATGTCAGTAAAACTGACTAGTAGGATGAGGAGGGCGACAAAGGCAGTTCTCTGTGAACAAACTTCACTACAGTTAAAATGTTTTAGACCTTTCAGACTGAAGGCATTTATGTGGAAGAGAGCTCTGCATTGATTAA